TTATAAAAAAACTTTTTCTCGGGTATGAAAGTGCTTATGGAAGATTAACAACATATTGAAGTTATCTCAGCACATCTCTTAAACACTTTCAAAGCAGTTTCCACCTAATCAAAACTATTTGAGAGGCGCTAGAACCCCTCCTCCACCCCTCACATCACCGACGCTGTGGAAACAACCACGACTGGATGATTCGTAATAGCTTTGCCAGTTGAAACATTAAGAAAACAAAACAACGCCTTCCAGTTTTCTAGGAAAATCCTACAGAATATCTCTTGTGTTTTATTTGCAAAGGCGGGAAATGCGACCCGAAGTAATTACAAATGAAGGCACCCCACGCACTGTTTTACTAACGAGGTTTACTCAATGCAGAGACAAAACTTTCGCAATAATTAATTCTAGTGCTGATGTTGCTGATAGAGATCTATTTTTAGATTTGTTTTCGTGTACGTGATTATTTTAAAATCAGTAAACAGAACGCACTAGGTATAAATTTGATGGTTGCTATTTTAAACAGCAAGGGCATTGATAAACTAATGAAAATTTGTTTTTCTTTAACTTAATCCGTATTGGAAATGTCCGAAGTGGCTCACAATTGTGCGTAATAAAACTGACTTCTAAAGTAACATTCTGAACGCTTGTGGTTTGCATTAGTGCAAAATATTTATTGAATCTTCTCCAAAACTTTTATATTTCTGGTCAACTTACAAATACTGAACAACTTTCTCGTGAACAGCTGAACTAGCCAAAAATGTTCAAAATTCGTTCTGCAAAGACTAGAAAAAAAAACGGAACCACGCACTGTGTGACCAACCTGAAGATATAGTTTGAAAAATTCTGAACTCAGCTGTCGTTAATCAAAAAGATAAAAATAACCAAAGAAGAAATGGAGTCCATTGAAGGGGCAAAAATTTCCAGTTTTTTGCGATAACTTGAGATCAGATTTTTTCCAATAGCAATGTGGTCCTTACATTCATCACTACTAAAAGTTCTAAAGAAATATAACGTCAAAACTAGATTTACCACTTGTCCTAAAATCTCTCAACATCTTTGATCCGTCAAAGACAAAATTCCATTTGAGATGCCAGGAGTTTGCAGCATTCCATGCATATACGGCAAAGAATACAGTGGAGGGACCGGACGAAAAATATCAACTAGGCTCAAAGAACATGAAAGAGCCTCATGACTAAGACTAAACTCATCAGCAGTTGCCGAACACAATCACGAAATCGGACATAAAATTTTATTCGATAAAACTAAAATTCTTCTACCAACGGAAAATCCGAGACTCTATAGAAATCTATACACAACTTAACAATCTTAACCGCGACTCAGGTTTCTACCTGTCACCAATATGGGAATCAGTCATCCGAGACGGTCTTTATGCCTCTCATTTAGCTGCGCCCCCCTCAAACAACCTCAAACAATATATAACCAGGTACAGAGTAAAATGCGAGATAGTTTCAGTCAAGCTCTGATGATTGGCGAAATGTCAGCAAGTTCGACTCAGCAAAAACCGACGCAGGAGGAATCCAGAAGTTTTGTAAAAATTAGCTCTTTGAAAATTTTTATTTTCTTTTATTTTAAAGAAAAAATAAAATAAATTTTGTAAGTAAGAATTTGCGCATCAAAAAAATTGAAATCAGATTTTCATGTACATGTTAACCAAAAAAAAATGCAATTGACGGACTGAAGCTCCTTTGTACTAATTAAATTTACAGTTCAGCATTATAACTGTAAATCAGATTTGACGATCCTAAATGGATATAAAAGCTCTAAATTACGCTTTAAGTGGGTAAAAATAAAACTCCGCGCCTCGACTTTCGTAATTTATTTGGAAATTAGCAGTAAAAAGTTCAACTGGCGCTACGAGAGAAATGGTTCGTGATAAAAATTATTTGTATATTTTATTTTAACAAAGACGCTTGAACACTATATTTCAGTTTAAATTTATATAATAACATGTTATTATATAAATTTAAATAAAATTTAAGTTGTTATTATATGGTTAAAGCTCATAAATTCGTGAAAATCGACATTTTTTAAGATAATTTCACAGAACTGTTACAAATTAAAAGTGAATTTGTTAACTATTTTTGGCAAATAAAAATATAGCTTTTAAAATCTTCATCTAATCTCTTTTTACAATTCAATAACCTATCAATATTACTAAGAAAAACACAAGAAAGGCTCTTTATTCAATTATAGTCTTATAATAAACATATGTTTCTTGACACAAGAAAAAATATAATTTAGGTAAAGCCAACATGGTTTTACGTGTACCATAGGTATTATCTGCTTTGCAAAACTTTTAATCGACAGACTAACGCCATTCACAAATTTTATATTAATTGATTAATAAAAAGGTCACAGTAGAATACCATGACGATTATGTATACTGTTAATAAAAGACTATAATGTGAAAAATCAATAAATAATATTTTTCGCACCATGATCCTCAATAGATTGGTAACGAATAATGCAAACAGTAGAGAGCAAACCAATCGAATAATTTTTGCTAGATGTTGTTTATCAAAATTAGTTTTATTTAATAAAACGCATATGCAAAAATTCTTTATTAATTGCTAGCTCATTTTAATCCGTAAGATTGCATATCCGATTAGTTTTTCATCCTTTTGCCTAATAAATTAATTAAAGTCGACAAGAGATAAATGAGTTAACATCAATTTAATGGCTGCGGCATTAAAATTTCCTCGTAATACCGTTTAAAAACCCGGATTTGTTTGATAAAATGAAGTAGTGATTCCACCCGATTAAATGTGGATGTGTGTGCTGCACACACTACTTTTGATATGATTTCAATTTTCTTAGACCTATATTTGACATTTAGTTTTAGTTAATCACTCATTTGCCTATCCCAGTTTCAATAACTGTTTACTTGAGTTTGTATGGGCACTTGTGCTTTTCCAACTAACCAAAACTACCATCAAACTAAATAAAATGTAAAACCTCTTCTATTCGCATTTATCAAAATCGAAATTACAAGTAGAATGCCCCGAATTTCTTTATAGACTCATCCAAAGGAATTGGCACCAACTCGGTTTTACCACTTATTTACTAAAACAGCTGGGCGGTTAAAATAATATTCCACTTAAACTTTAATCCGGCGTGACCTTTATATCTTTTATAATAATTAGCAGACGACGATAGGTGAGGGTTTTGCGATTTAAAAGGGTCAGCGGTCTCTTGAGCACATAGACAAAATAAAAAATTAAGTCTTTAATAAACTTACCTTCGCGGCACATTAGGTATGTGCTCAATTTTTTTTACCATTTTATTTTTTTTTACCAATCTCGGACTTTCCTGCACATGAGATATCTTTAAACGGCAATCAATAAGTGCAAATAAATCATGTATCTGAGTTTGTATAATAGGTACACCAAATCTCAATTCAGCATTATCGAAATCGTCACAAAACTGGAAAAATCTTAAAAGCGACATAGTGTATCTAGGCCATAAATCTCCTAGGGATATATGTTTATATAAGATTTTAATTTAAACAAAGGATCTTCTTAAAAGAGCTTCAATTCAGCTTTTAAATTTATAATGACATACTTCACGACCAAAAGTTAAAATAAACAATGATCATATTGCAATCTTAACATTATTTAATTTTTACTTTATACTTCCGGTTCCAGTTTTTGAGATATTTGGCTGGAATTTTAAATTTGCACTGCCTTATCATTCGTTTAGAATCATAAATCGTTAGTGTTAATCCTTTTTCATATGTTGATGTTCTTGTTGTTAAATAAGCCAGGGAATCCCATCGCCTGCGCCTGATGTTTAAGACAGTAGTAATATTTTTCGGAGAAAAATTAGAGATCCATGATTTCTAAATTATCATATAGTACTAAAAGGCGTTAAAGAAATTGAAAACGGAGAAGAGCAAAATTTTGAACCAAAAGGAACTAGTAAATCCCACTTTATTGATCAATAAATATAATTTCTTAAGATGTTCAATATTACGATGGTACTTTAAAGTGCGTTTAAGTCAAAAGTAAAGGTCAAGTAAATTGAGACTAAAAATATTGTAAATCTTAAAGATTTCACTTTATAGCATAGAAAGCAGAATTTTAAGAAGCAATATCTTAAAAAATGTGAAATTAAATAGTTCTTTTTCACCCAAAAGTGCAAGAAAACGTCATTTTGAATTGATGAAAATTGAATTTTCTTATTGTGTTTAGTTTAGCAGACCTAAACAATCGATTAACTTGTAACAAAACTAATTAAGAATTATTAAGCATTAAACTACGGTTGAGTGAATTGAGTATCGATTATAATATAACGAAGCCATACTTGGTACATTTGAGATAGATAGCGGTTGTATTGGCCGAAATAACATTTGGCAAGTAATAAGTATTTGACCTTATCTTAGTAATTTTATTATGCTTTTTTTTATTACATATTAACCATTCATTTTTTGTATGACCGTTTTTTTTTTTGCTATGCTCCATACAATGCACGTTTGTGACGAGTTGTATAGGGTATACGAACACTTGAGACTAGTAAAAATATTTTCGAAAATTGTTTGTCTAATTCTGTTTTTGGTATTAATTCCTTTGTCATTCTGTGCCCTTCCTCTTTCCGGTCACTTACCTCGAATGAAGAATATTCGGTAAATAACAAACATAATATTTATCACATAAAAAAATAAACAATTATTTGTGTTAGACCTGAGATTTTGTGCCACTACGTGCCACATTTTGGATCCAGCCCACCTTAGAGAAGAGGAGAACAACGGGGATAAATTATCAACATAACATAACAAGTAAAAATTGTACAGTATTACGAAGCTGCAGCATCTGGATAAACAACCGAGATGGTGTACATCTACGGAACAAGCGTTACAACAAATCGCCACAAAGCACAAGGACCCAAGGTCGTGCACGACTCCATCCTGTTGAATCCCTCGCGGATGCTGATGCGCTCAAAACAAAAAACCCGCAAGGCAAGCAAATAGTCCACACCAGCAGGAGACTTACCGACGAGAGGCGCGTACGAGATCATCCGAGGCCACTGTTCCTTACACCATACACCAAAAGAAGTGGCTGGGACACCACCCGGACGCGCGTGCAGCGGATTTACAGTGCGAAAAAAGGGTAGCGGAATGTGTGATCCCGCATGCAGTGTCCGCTTTGGTGCGGAAACGCGACACGACCTGGCGCTATGATTACTGGAACTGTAATGGCGGGCTCGGACGGGCTAACGAGTCGCGCGCACACGCTTTCCCAGGACTCGGTGAGGAAATATTGATCCAGGAATGGCCACCGACGACGAAAATTCCGCTTATTGTAGTGAGAGAAATATATGTGAATTACTGCGCCGAATGATTTGGTACATAATGGGATACCGCGTTTAGCCTTTCGGTCTGGGAGATTTCTTGTTAGATATTAATCCGCGAGAAGGCCGACTACTTGGCGATGTTTACCGTCTGATAGCTAATTTACTAATGCGACATTACATGAATGACCCGGAAATTCCATTCGTATCTCGGGCAACTCTGTATTTTTTGTTTATTTATTTATTAACAATTCTTTTTAGCAACTTTAGCCATTGTGATTTAGTATGAGCTCCGTGTATAGTTCAGAGAGATCAACCACGTGCATACAAAAGTACGCTTTGCTTATGGAATCAAGAATGCCCAACCCATAACTTTCAAGTTGCGTGAAGAACACTGGAAAAAAGTACTCTTTTCCACTACTTAACTTCCTTTGATAGCGTCAAAATGACAAATCGTCCATAGACCCAATTCTGGAACCTGCGTAGAAAGGTCGATACAATATTGAGTTTACAACCACAACTACACCACAAATTATATAACGTTCTGGACCCTAGTTTCGCTAGTCATCGAGAGCAGATGGTCATTCAGCCGTGAAGGTACCCTGGCGCTTAAAGACCCTCTGGTAGAAATGTCGCATGACCCATTGCAAATTTTCAAGCGGTTGTCAGATGGTACGCACTTCATCGTCGAAAGGCACTTTAAGAGAGGATCGAATCAGGGTTGATTTTTGTTTTTGTCGAAATTTATGAGACAGATAGCAAATAATGCCCAATGAATAATTCCAATTCAGTCTTCCAGTATCGGAGAGGAGCGACTACTAAACCTAAAACTAGTTTTGTGGATTTATCCTTAGGAAACTTTAGTTCTTATCAACTTTGCTCACTTCCTTCAAGCGAAAAAGAATTAAATATTATAAAACAAATAGCATTTAACAATGGTTACGCTATTAACCCTCGTTCATGGATAATATTATAAATAAAAAACAGTTTCAAATAACTCAGAACTGTATCTATCCCATATTAAATACCGAACCCAAAATTTATAAACCAATAAAATACCTAGCAAGAAAATTTCGAAACATCTATCTAAAATTGAAAACACCATTAGGAAATTGGTTAAAAACAATAAAACTAAATCACGAAAAATAAGTTGAAATGTGGATCATGTTCCAAAATGTATATCACGTAGAACATTTAAAAAACGCATGAATGAACATATAAGAGGATATATAAATAAAACTTCGGATTCTAACTATGCCATTCATTTAAATTCAGAAATACACAAGTTTGACGATAATATGGTTATTTTACATTATAAAACAAAAAGCAAAAAACTAAATTTGTTGGAATCTATGGAGATTAATAAAATGAGATAATTCGAACCTATTACTTAATAACCAATTGGATTTAAATACATCTCCGTCGTTAAATTTAAATGTATAAGCCTACACCGGTAAAGAGTAGTGGATATAGTGATAATATTGATATTTTCGTGGAGAAGCTGATTGTTTTCCGTGCATTTCACAAACTTCGCGACACTTTGCGCCGTTTTCTTTCTAAACAGTGATTTTCACACACTTAACTCGTTTTGCTAGACGAGATCTAGACCCATTTTGAGAAAATAGTACCGTAAAAATGCCGCATCCAAACTTATTGATGATGTCTCAGCGACCATGTAGGTTATTGAATGCTGCAAGGTCATTGGTAAAAACGAAATTGAATGGATTTTCTCAATTTTATTTTCATAGTTGCCTCATAGGTTCCAGTATTACCAGGATAGGCAGGGCCACTACATCTCTAATAGTTATATGGATGTTATCTTAGGAACCCAACTATTGTGATGTATGATCCATATATGGTTCAGAGAGATGAACTACGTATATACAAAAGTATATAAGAATGCTTTGCTCATAGAATCACGAAATCCATCCCGCAGTTTAATTTAATAGCGTCAGAACAACAAATTGCCATGAGTCTGAAAACTGGAACCTGTGGTGGAATGTCAATACAATTTCAAGTTTACACCTACAACTCATATATCTAACTTACTGGATTCGCGTTTGACTAGCTATCATCAGCAGATATAAATTAACTAAAATAAGTTAAGAGCTATCGATGTAATAGCTAAGCCTGGTCATTAAGCCGCAAAGGTCGCTCACCTCACCTCTTGGTGACAGCCGGCTATATATACAGGGTGTCTGGTCATATTCTAACACACGCTTACAGGTGTATTATGGGTTATAGTAAATATAAAAGTTCAAGAAAACTCAAAATTTATCAGTTCTCTAACAGCAACTTTCAAGTGTAAGCACGTAGTGGACATTAATTAAATTAGAAGTACAGACAATGGACGTTTGCGCATTTTGGAAGGAAATATTCAAATTTGTGAAATATGACAAGACGTTTTTAGTTTTTTTATATTAGTCAACGTCAAAACAGTGAAATGTGTTCTTAGGATTTTTGCGCTGAGTTCAGTGAGGTATTAAAAATAGCCCTTTTAATATTTTTATTTATTTCGATAAATATTGCTCAATCGCAACTTTGAAATCATTTAAGTCTTGGAAGCAGCCAAGTTCAAAATGGAAACTTTTTTTATTTGTGCCTGTGTTAGATGTACGTATTTTTTTTAAATAAACATTTTGATATTATGGGTTTGCTTTGAAGCAAATTTAATTATTTGTCCGTCTAGTAAATTAATTTCAATCGAGCAATGGAGTGCAACTTACTAGATTAGAATAGATCCGCCTCTGAAATTAATATTTACTCGTTAGAACTACTCCAAGACGACCATAATTCCTTTGATATTCTGGAATCGATATTTCGCAGAATCGAGAAAAGACTGCGAAACCTGCAAAAGTCTCAAACATTAAAACCTCTAAATTCCAGCGAAACTCCGGCTTTAAGTGTTTTCAGAAACGGGACGAAATGAAATACTTCGACTGCGTCTCTGATGTGCTGTTGCCTATTGATGCCCTCGTACTTTCTAAGAAATGTATTTTCATTTTGTTCCGAAAAACCCAAGCGTTATATTTCATACAATGTGTTATAAAATTAGATTTTCGATATACTTTTAAATCATCGGTTTTAAATTCCAGTATTCAAAGACGAAAAAGTTCATTTAATTATTAAATGAAATTATTGAGTGACTAAGAAGAGTACGAACTGTAACTGCAACTTACCTAGTTGAAAAGAGACTCGACACTTATAATTAAAAAAAATATTGGGTTGTTCGGAAAGTCATTTCGTTTTTTTTGGGGAACATGAAAGACAGTTTTCGTATAATGAATAAATATTTTATTAAATTATAGATTGGCCATTCTGGTCCAACACCTTTTGCCATCTTTCTGGCAGTAACATAATTCCCCTCCCATAAAAGTTTTGGTCCTTGCTGGCAAAAAACTGGTTCAGGTGGTTTTTGACATCTTCATTTGAGGTAAAGGTTTTGCCATCCAAAAAATTTTGCAGGGACCGGAACAAATAGTAGTCGGAAGGCGCCAGATCTGGAGAATATGGTGGATGTTGCAGTACGTCCCATTCAAGCTGTAAAAGTTTTTAGCGAGTGACCAAACTTGTGTGAGGTCTCGTGGAACACAACACCCTTCCTGTTGATTAATTCGGGCCTCTTCTCTTTAAGTGAATCATTCAATTTGTCCAGTTGATGACAATAGACTTCTGAATTAATCGTTGTATTGTCCGGCAAAAACTTAAAAAAAAACGATTCCTTTGACATCCCACCAAACGGAGAGCGTCACCTTTTTTTGGTGAATGTTGGCTTTTGACACGCTTTGAGCCGGTTCATCTTTTCTGCTCCATGACCTCTTGCGTTTAACATTGTTGTATACAACCCATTTTTCGTCCCCAGTAATAATCCGCTTCAAAAATGGATCATTTTCTTGACGTTTGAGGAGCGAATCACACACGTCAACGCGACGACACAAATTTCGCTCCGTAAGGACATGGGGCATCCACACATCGAGCTTCGAGGTTAAGCCCATGCCTTTCAAATGGCCATAAACAGTCGAATTCGACAAATTTAATCTCTCACCGATCTCCCGTGTGGTTATTCGCCGATTTGCATCAACTAATGCCTTTATCGCATCTTTGTCAGCTTCGACCGGCCTTCCAGACCGTGGTGCATCTTCGACATCAAAATTGCCGGATCGAAATTTTGCAAACCAGTTCTGGCACTGGCGTACTGTTAACACGCCTTCTCCATACACATCCGTCAATTTTTTTCTCGCTTGGACAGCATTTTTACCTTTTCTGAAGTAAAAAAGTAAAATATGACGAAAATGCTGCTTATTGCTCTCCATATTTAAAAGGGCACCAACCAAAAACTACTGCGTAGAATTAATAGAACTTTTTCACACACAAGCCTTGCAATATCAGCTCTCAAGACATATAATGGTTATGCGGCTTAAGTGTGAAGTTGGTTTCGAAAAAACGTAATTAAGTCCTCTGACGGAAAAAACGAAATGACTTTCCGAACAACCTTATATTTTTGTACTATTATTTATTACCAAATTCGTAAAAGATAAGCAGGAATTGCTTTCTATTGCCATTCTAATAATAACAAAATACTTGTTTCTTTGTTTTTTGTTTGTTTATTAAAGAAATTCTAATAATCGTTATTTATTACATAAAAACCTAAAATTCCATTAATATTTTTCATTTGAAAGTAAAGTCAAAAGTAAAAAAACAGCATGGAATTTTGAAGTTTATAAGACAAATCATCTCGGACCTTACGAGATACACCGCTCTCTACATTCATTTAATTCATTTTTTTAATAACAATTTAAAAAACATTTAGAAACAGGATTTTTATGAACATATTCAAAAATTATTTGTTAGAAAAATCTGGTGACTTTTATTAATTAATAATTCTTCCATTATAACAATTCGTAATGA